TCATTTTGAGAAAAATTGCGGCGCCGTCGAAACGGTGAGAAATATGTATGTATGTATGTGCGTGTGTTCGATGGTAGAGCGAGCTCGCAACACGTTTGGGGCCTCTAGGCGTGCTGCCTAAGGGCTGCTGCTACATATGTATTTCTGCTGCTGTTGCTGCTGTTGGCATTAAGCAGCGGCGTGTATAGCCAACGCTTACGCACTCTTTTGTTGAAGGGAGAGGAGGGAGGCTGTTATGAATGGGGGGGCACCTTTTGGGTGCCACCTAAGGGGCTTGGGGGTTCCTGGGAAGGGGGGCGAGGCTTAAGCGGACGGCTTTTGTGTCGAGGGAATCGGCGACGGTTAAAGAGATCTTGACGGTTGACGGAAGGCCGGGGAGGGAGATTTTGCATGAGAATTTCCCTTTCGATGGGTAAGGCGGGCGGGCGGGTAATGTTGGGGGCAGGCATTCCTATTGGATCTCTCACATTTTGTCATACATACACATACACGGAATGCGGGGACGGGGGTAGGACAGCAGGCAGCTATAATATGGAAAGCTGTACGCATGCGACGTGTACGTGTGTACGTGCACTTGGTCGCGCTGACGTATGGGCGAGTGTACGGGTGTACGACGATGTTGACAGCTGTGTATTTCTCTCCCTGGAGTGTATGAGCTACATGAGGTGTGGTATTTCGCGCATTCCGGCGCGGCGTTACACTTTTTCTTCGGGTTCACTCGCTTGTTTCGGCGCATCGGAGCATCAACCGTTCGATTGGCGGCGCTCTGGCATGTCGTGCGGGTGTGCTCACTGGTGGACGGACAGTCGCCAGGACTGGGGCGATGTAAGGGAACTGTGTTTTATTTCGTTTCTTCGAGGGGATGCCGTGTAGTGGTTTTTCCTGAATTAGCCGTCGTTAGCAATAAATTAAGCGCAATATCGAAGCCGGGGCACGTTTATGACTCTCATCATTTGGCAAAAGCCAACGCCCGCGGCGGTGCTGTGGAGTGCGAGTATGTTGTCGGAGCTTTAGCAGAGTCTTATTAGCCTAAACCTTTGTTTTTACGCAACAACGCGAGTGGGAAATGTGGCCGTGTTCCCACTGCGCGAGCTGTTGCTCGTTCCTTGCCCAAAGGTGATGCGTTATTAGTAGTTGTTTCTCGCTTTGCTTTGCTTTCATTCGCAGGAGGTGCTTTGCCCGTTGGGCCGGAAATTAAGCTCCCAAAATTTTATTGGCTTAACATCATCATATATGCATGTCTGTCCAAGTTTATTACATTGCGGCGGTGGCGGCTGTGGCTGCTGGTGCCGCTGCTGCTGCCCCTGCAGCGGCGGGGCCTGGGCGAGGGCGGCTGTTGCTGCGGCTTTTTACTGCAATATTCACAATAGGTGAAAAAACGTATGCCCCCTGGCCCTATCCTGTTGCGTTTCGTGAGACGAACGTTTTTGTTACCCAACGCTAAAATCTGTCGTACGTTCCAATTGTATTGTGCGTGGCGGTGTATCGTCATCATATATATACATACATATATATGCGTCAAATGAAACAAACGACCACAGGCTAAATTATCACATTGAATGTAACAAAAGAATAATCACAAAAGAATGAGAGCAATGGTGCGGAGCTGTACACGATTGAGTGGTGTGATGGAGTCAATCAGATGGCATTAGATGGCAAAATGAGCCAATCGCCAGCAATTAACCTCTTACCGGCAGAGCGCATCCTGCCAGCTATCGATTATTTACATGAATGGCGCACGTCGGATACACCACAGACTGACTGACCGAAACTGCACATCCTGGCCACACATCCTGGCCACGAAGTGGAGTACACGCCCATATGGCTGTAGATTGCAAAAACACATGTCCAGTTTTCTTGTTTCCTATCTAAGAAATCTAAACACTTACATACAACTAACAACGCCGTTCTCAACTTCTAGCAACGCCTAGCAGCATTTAGATGCACTCTTCTTGCCTCTCATCTGCAGATAAGTGAAATGAGAAATCCTACGGTACCCCAGGTTTCCAAGGTCTTACCGGTCTACCGGTGTAATGTTATTCTACACAGACAGAAAAGTCGAAACAAAGGCGGGAAAAAGTCACTCGAGCAAAAGGTCATGCGCATCCATACAGTGACAGCCCAAACACAGCACTACATTGCACCGCTCGAGTCAAAGCAAGGTTGGTAGCAGCCAGATTTTAGGTGATGCCACTCAAACGCGCCTTCCGTACGGATGCAGTGGATGCTGGATACAGCGGAGCGTCGTCATCGCACGCTGTCCTCCTTTAATACCGCCGCCAAGGGGCGGCGGCAAAGGCGGCGGCGGCTGCGGCCA